GTTGATCAGAGTCTGCTTTATTATTATGCAGTCCTCTTCCCTAGTCTTATCCCAGTCTCTCTCTTGCTCCATAAAATCCGTTTGCTCTACCCCTTGTTCCCCTATTTCACTCGACTCTTGCCACCACATCTGTCCTACTCGAGGCGTTCTTCGCCCCTACCTGCGTCTGGGTGACTAATTCGAGGCGCAAGCCTCTGAGTGTCATGGTCACCCGTTTGCTACATGTACCACGTCTCTGGTACAACAGACCTACCGTCAGCCAACTAGCTCCGGTCCACGCCGTCTATATCCTGTTTCTATACCTAATACTAAGTCTATGATTTTCCATGCCCTAGTCTCTTGTGTGCCAACCCACAAATGTTGTGGTACAGCTTGTTTTGATTTAGTTCAATGTTGAACGACAACATTTGTGGTCAGAAGAGGAGATACCACAATTGTTTAGCACACGTTTGGTCAAAGGATCGGCTTCACTTATTTCTTTTACAAGTTGTTGTATGGTGCTAAGAATGACGATACTCACTGACGATGCCGGCGAAACGTTTTGGAATGTACCACATACTCGGTTTTACTCTGGAAATGATGATGCATACAATGGACTCCGGACTAGGTGCGTTGATCTAAGTCTTCCTACCAATTTGCGAAAACAGGGTCAAAAAACTTCTATACAAGATTAGCAGTTGTGATCTGCAAAGGATAGGCCAATATATGGAAGCGGTGTTCACTGATACTTGCGTGCGGAATGGCCATAGTTGTGCAGATATGAATAGTTTAGGAAGAAAATCAGGAAATGAGAAGAACTAGGAAAAAGAGGGGTAGGAGGAGTTAGGCTAACATAACTTGAAATTTCCTATTTGGATCCAATCACTGACCGGTAACTTGAGATATATCAAGGAAAAACTCGATAATAAGCAACATTGGTAATAGTTGGGGCAATAAAATTTGATCAAGTTGTGGTGTAAGGGTTAGAGGTAATGTGAGTCTTATGAAAATCGCTTACGTCCTCCATACAATTGAGACTTCATGCATTCACCTTACTCCATTTATACCAAGCCATTGGTTGCTACTAGCCATTTAATGTAAGTTCATTTAGAACAATTCTCAATTTTGATGCAAGGAGGTTGAGGAAAATTAATTTTGGAGGTAAGTTTTTCTGTCATTATTGAGATGGACGATGCCGACTTACAAACTCATCTATTGCAACGAAGAAGTATAGTCCTAACTTCCAACTGATAAAGAGAATAGCCATTCTTGGAAAGAGACTGAAGGATTTATCAACGTTCATTCTATGAGGCTGTACTTCCAGTTAATTTGTAATTTTATTTCTATTCCATTATATGCATTTGGCTGTAAAATATAATCCTTTGATGCGCACGGAGCAATATTATACCCTATTTCTGATTATAAATATTTAATAAGGGTAGGCCGAAAAACTGATATATTTTATATAACGTATTTAATTTTCAAAATAGCCAGTGATATGAGTTTCTGTAAAGATTTTATCCTCTTCTAATTTTTGTCGAAGCCAGGTTATTTGTTCCAGCCTCTTTACCAGATACATAGCTCCAAAGTAGGTGATTCTCCTTGCGGCTGCGGCTGCGGCATCGACAATCAATACGGGCGATTTTATGGTTAACTTGTGCAGAATAAAGGCTGTATGATACATGCATATTTGTCCACACAGAATATTCGAAAGATGTGAAATCCTTTGTGAGTGGTGCATATTCAATTAGCCGTTAACGGGTAAATAATCGTCGAGATTTTAAGTAAAATTCAAGGCAGCTGCAACCTTATTGACATAGTGTAAGGGGTTAATTATATATTAATATCCAACCCAATACTATCGTTATCAGCATCCATCGGCCCTATTCAAGCCAAGTAGCATTCACACTTCAAGCCACTCTACTCTTGTCGCATCAAATCATTTGCTATTTTTCACTGCAATTATCACCCAACTCTCCTCTTTACTTTGTATGCACATCGCTGGTCTGAAGCGGTTGTGGAAAATTCAAGGTTATGAGCCGAATAAAGAACAAGAGTTCAAAAGCTATGAAATCCAACTTTGAATAGAAATGTTTAAATGACCAACTATAATAAGCTATGCCATTAGGAACATTATTAGCATTAAAAAAATTAAAAGGAAAATATTTTCTACCGGGTGCTTTTGATTTGAGTTTGGGTTACTCTCATCATTACAGAAATATAAAAGTTAAATGACCATTTTGGCCTTATATAAATAGGGGTTTTTCTCCTTAATATTGGACTCATCCTTATACATTAGCATGTTTGAGGGCATTTCCAAAGCCGAAACTCGTAGCATGAAAAGGAAACTGGGGTGTAAGATATGCAAACATTCTGGGTTCAAGAATGATGAAATACTCACAAGGAATTTGAGCTAGGTTCGCCAATTGTAATAGACAAAACATATTACAATATGTGAATCAGCACGGTCCCCTGATAGCCTTAATCATTAAGTGTATAATTTTCATGTGATATGGCGAACATTTAAGAAGCTATGGAGAATAAAGATCTTCTTGTATTAGAACATATCAAAGAGAATTACATAAGACAGTCGGTATACATTTTTTCATGGGTAAGTAGGTTTTTGAGAATAACAGTAAATCAGATGTATGAGTTGGGTTTACTCTATTTCATTTAAGGTGGTGAAGGAATGGTAGTTGAATTGTCCCACCATGATATGAGTAGAGCAGATGTTTTCAGAAGTGGGTTGACCTAGTTGCCGCAACATGGTCTTGTTGTCAGGGCGACTAAGTAGAACGCACCTAGTCGGAAGTCCTGTGCCATAGTAGTTATCATAATTCCCAGCAGCAGAAAGTTGACTTGGTACATTCTCAAACCTATCACCGGCATCGTAGTCGGCGTTATCAGTGGGTGCTGCCATTCTATGTACCAAGCTGCGAACCCGTCAAAGAGACAATTGAAATTAATCCTTTCACCAACGTTGCTCCATTTCGAGTGAAAGTGTTTGGTGGTGAAGAGATTCAAAGGTGGATTCCATCAGAAGACGACGGCGCATTCCTCTTGACCAGCTGCCGATTGGCTTTACTGGAAACTTCATGCTGACGCTGTTTCCGAGGTAATCTACTTCGATTACGGTGAAAACGTGCTAAGCTTCGTTTTCTTGACTCATTAGCTTGAAGTTAGTTGTGGCGATGATGATGATCGTCCGATAATGGACGAAAGCTTAGCACCTTTTCACCGGACTCGAAGAAGATTAACTCGGAAACAGCGTCACAATGACTGTTCCAGTAGAGCCAATCAACAGCTGGCCGTCATCTTCTGGTGGAATCGATCTTCGAATCTCTTCACCAAATACTTTCACTCGAAATGCAAGTAGCAAAGCAATTATTAAACAAAAGATTCCTCGAAACCCAACCTTTTTACGCATACTCCTCTTTCTGTCCTGGCCTATCTATATATACTTTATCCTCTTATCAAACTACCGCCCTATCACAACTTCTCCCTTGTTTACATTCCACTCGTCAAAAGGCGTGAACCTTTTGGGCAAGTTATGTGTGGCCTCATCGCATCTGCTATTCACCTTGGCCCCCTTGGGATAATCCGACTCGGACCTCCAATCCGGATCTTCCTCATGATCCTGTAAATCCGTTTCTTATCTTTCTGGTCAACCGATTTTATTCGGTTCCAGTCCGAGTA